AACAGTCTTTTTCATTCATTTAAAGTTTATAAATAGCAAATACGAATAACTAAGTCAAGTGACAGTGTAAGTCTGATGAAAAGAAGGCCAACCAAGGCACAGTGAGATAGTGACAACAGAGGCCCTTTGACTCGTTCGTGCAACATACCAACATTTATACAATCGAATTTCCTTCTTAACGGTTTTCTGGCATGATTGGCACCAGATGGTAGCACTGAGGCGAAAGGTCTACTCTCATCATAAACATAGTATTATGTCTATGACTCCCATGCTCTACTCATCCGTCAAATCGATTTTATCATCGTTGTCTACAGCATTCTACGGTCATGCGACACAACACAACAAGACAGATGAATGTAGTTCTGCCATTATTCATCATCAGCCTATATATGTCTCTACTACAGGCCTTCCGTTTCTATGGGATACCCTGGAATTCCTAATATTTTAAGGGGATGAAAAGTTTATATGGGAAACCTTTGGGAAACCAACTTTTTCACGCAGACTTAATTGCGGGTAACACCTGCAATAAAATTAATATACTTAAAAATATAGAATAATATTCTTATCTTAAAATATGTGCGTTTAGTAAATGTGAAACATAACTGTGGGTTTGTATGTGTGTTAGCAACGATATTATATAAAACCCTAGAAACCTGTCCAAAAGGTACATAGGACGATCCACAGAACTCCGTAAGATGATCGCTTAGTAAAAACAATATAAGGCATTATTTAAACTTTGAAAGTCACCTTTCAAGAATACTTCATAAGGTTTTAATTAAAACGCATGTGTCAAAGATTTGTGGCAGTTCGAAATGCAAGCTCGTAAAATTTTACGACATTGCTATATGCGGAAGAATATAGTTTTTTTTTGTGTATGCTGTTGGTCGCGGATGACCATTACAGCGTCACCGGGTTTGGGGACGGCGTGATCCTAAGAGGACCTCAAGCCAAGAATTGGCGAGTGCCTCTAGAAGTATTCCAGGCGGATAGCATCTCCCCACGGGGGAGAGTCTCTTCTGAAGAATATAGACCTTATTTTTTGGACTCTATTCTCAGGTATGGACCGCGAGGAAAAGAGACAGCTATATTACCGACCATGCATTCGAATATTATAAATATTTTCTATTAAATCAGTTTATAGTATTTGAACTTACGTAAAAATTTGCTTCAAATGCGTTAAAATAACAAACATTGATTAGATACCTGTCGAAAAAACGACACTTACCTAATGTGTATAAAGGTGGAAAGAAAGACGATGTCAATGACTACAGGCCAATTTCAGTTCTTCCCTCCATAGCAAAAATTGTTGAATAACTCATTAATTCACGTCTAATAAATTATTTGAATAAAAACAATTTACTATCTAGCTGTCAATTTGGTTTTAGACAAAAAACATCTACTGAGGATGCCATTGGCTCTCTTACGTCCCTTATAACTTAACAGTTAGACATGGGTAAGAAATGTCTTACAGTATTCTTAGACCTAATAAAGGCTTTTGACACCGTCTCCTTGCCGATACTAATACAAAAGCTTCAAGCTATAGGCGTAAGAGGGCTTCAACTAGATCTTATGAAGAGCTACTTACAGGGGCGCACGCAAAGAGTTAAATTGGGTTATTGCTGTAGTGAGGAATGTGAGGTAACCTATGGCGTCCCACAAGGAAGCGTATTAGGACCGACTCTCTTCCTTATTTATATTAACGACCTTACTAACATGGACGTAGAGGGTGCTAAGAACTTCTCATATGCTGATGACACTGCTATTGTGTTCACTGATGACTCATGGGATACTGTTTTCCGGAGGGCTGAATCAGGACTGGCTCTAATCTTTAAATGGCTTAATAATAATTTGCTAACACTTAACGTTAGTAAAACTAACTACATATGTTTCACAATAAATAAAAGAACACAGCCTAATCAAAACCTCTCATAAAAATTCATCAGTCTTGCGATGCCATCTGCCGTTGTGTACCTCTGGAAAGGGTCGTCTCTACTAAATACTTGGGATTAATACTTGACCAACATCTGTCATGGCACAGCCAGATCGAGTTTGTGACTGAGAGACTTAGAAAATTAACATGGGTATTCAAAACTCTACGTCATATTGCAACAAGTCATCTTCTTAATAGAATATATGTATCACTAACTCAATCTGTTTTGACATACTGCATCTCGATATGGGGAGGTGGTGCAAAGACTAAGTTTCTAGAAGTAGAAAGAGGTCAACGGTGTTTACTAAAAGTAATGTATTTTAAGCCTTATAGATTTTCGACAAAGGAACTTTACGAAATAGCCAATTTACCGACTGTACGTCAACTTTACATACTGATTGCAATTTTAAAACGTCATAAATACTTACCATATGAACCTAAGCTAACTCAAAGAAGAAGAAAATGCATAAAAATCTCACAGCACAACACAGCCTTTGCTGGGCGACAATTCTATATACAGAGTTGTAAAATCTACAACGAAGTAAATAAAAAGCTAGGTATATCTAATCTTATTAAGATTATATGTATGATTGTAAAAAAAATGTACTTACTTGGTTAAAAACTAAGAACTATAATGATACTGAAAACTTGCTTCAAAATTTATAATAATCGATCACACACACACACACACACACACACACACACACACACACACACACACACACACACACACACACACACACACACACACACACACACACACACTCACACACACACACACACAAACACACACACACACACACACACGCACACTCACTCACTCACACCCACACACAAACGCAGACATAACAGATATATTGAATACATTAGACTAAACCAATAACGTGTCGTTATATATTTGTAACCAATATGGTATTAAGTTTGGAAGAGTTATGGAAGAGCGAGAGTTCCTGACACAGGCAAATAAATTGTCTGCTAGAGGCTCTCAAATATTGTATCACTAGCATAATATTGGATATAGAAATAAAGTATTTTCATTTTCATAAGTGTTATTATCACAATTTGTCACGGAGATTTGCGGCAACTTGTCTTTACAACTGTAACTGCGAACCAAGAAGTGCTTGAGTGGGATACATTTTGAGCACACGTGGTGTATCTAGGGTATTGAATATCGTCGTGTGTTAGCCACAAAGTCGTAGGCACCCCGCGAATTCGCCTGCGTGAAAATTTTTACTCACGTTTTTAAACTATGATTTCTTGATCATTTGTTCGCATTTCGTCGGATCCGCAAAAGAACGGATTATCATTTCGCCGGATACAGTACTATTATTAATATGTCTTTCTCCACATGGCGAAATCAAACTTTGCATTTAGTTTTGAGATTACTGAAGACGTATACTGTATACTGTTTTATAACGCAAGATTAAAATGATTACAAATTACATTCTGCAATAACAAGTGACGTCCAAAAAAGACGCACAAATTGGACGAATTGTATCTGATTGTGTTATGTAAGATATAATTATTATTTAGTTATAATTTTTATTATTTTTAAAGCATGTAACTGCTTGATGTTTAAATCTAAAGAAAATATAACTAGAAAAAATTCCACGCGGACCAGGCAGCAGACGGGACTCGAACCCGCACCCTTCGCAATCCGGGCGAATGCACTGATTATAATTATTATTTTCCAATGTTTAATTGATTTGTTTATTTTTTCAGTATTTTTGAATCTATAGCAGAAAAAAGATTGGAGTATTTTCCTTAAGTGTTTTTCTTGTAAACTGTATTCCGCCGAAATAAGAATCCGTCCTTTTGCGAATCCGACCAAGTGCGAACATATTTTTAGGATGAAAGCCATTGGATTTTCCCGTAACTCAAACTGTACTTAATATAAAATTTAAATTTAATCGGTTCAGCGGTTTACGTAAGTGTGAATGAATAATAGAGATACAGTGTAACAGTGTTCTTTGTGGAACGTGGTGGAAAAAATAGAAACTAAACAAAAATAGGATTTAATCAACTTAAACTTTTATTTATTTATTACAAAAAAATAGATACAACCCCTTTAGTATTAACAAAATATATAATCTATTTTCTTCTTCTTCTTCTTTTATTAAGGCATGGTAACTAATGTTGCCATTTGCCATATGCAAATTTCATTTGATGTAATTGGGTAGCAAATCGATTTAACTTGAATAATCTGTTTTATTAATATAAATTAAAAATTGACAAAAGTCACCCTGTTCTCTACACGAATTATTTATCTTAACGACTTACATTATCTATCCAATGCGCTTCACTTTAGGTATACTTACATACAATGCACTATTAACAAAAACAATAATTCTTTTAACAAAATATGTAAGTATGTATTTTGCTCACCAACAAATACCTACTGCGCATTTTTTTATAAATACGCGAGGATGGTCGCTTCGACAAAAGAAAACAAATATATAAACGAATCGAGAACCTACACCTTTTCGAAGTCGGAAATATTTAGACCTATTTTTAAAATCTAAGCAATAATAACAGAAATTGAATGCTGAGATTGAAAGTTTTTATATTATTCTAATGTTGTTATTTACATTAGGTAGGTACTTACGTATAAAAGAACATTATCAAATGACGTAACATTTACCAGTGATAATTATCAAATTAGGTAGGTACCTACTTATCTGAACTTATGCCAGCTTAAGGTAAATATGTTTTCTTCCATTTAATAAATATTTATCATTATTTAGGTATTATTCACAACACTTAACTATTTATAGTGTAACTTGTTTAGTAACAATGTACTTAATGTAATATAAGTTTAACTCAACAAATAACATCTTAAAGATAAAATCATGAGATCGTACTCACAGCACCATGAACTTTTAAAATTTTCTTGACATATAGTTTTAACAAACAAACATAACATTTAAGGCACTGCTAGTTATAAATAAAAGAAAAAAACTTCTATAAATAAGAAAACTAGAATCACCTACATAGGAATAACACTAGCATAACATTGAGTCATAATGGCACTTATGTCACGGCATGGGAAGGTCGGATAATATCAACAGGATCACGACCGAGGCGTGAATTCCATTTCAGTAGCCTTGAGCGCTTCCCGTAACGACGCTGGCAACTCCGGCAACTTGTAGATGGAGTCTGAGAGTGGCGGCAACTTCAACGCGTCCACCGTCTTCTCGTAGCCAGTGAAAGCTAGGTACAACTGCGTCACGCGATGAATTTCGTCTTGCGTCATCGTCACCGAGCGCAACTGCTTCTTGAGTTCCAGTTGTGACTCGCCGCATTTAGTGCAGCAGGTCTCATCGAGTACGTAGGGTTTGGTGGCTTTCCGTGGCGCATGTTTGCAGTGTAGCGGCTCGACGAACTTGTGCCGGCGCGGGAGGGCGCGGGGCCGCGAGTCGGGTAGAACCACGAGGCGGTCGCCGTGGTGGTCGGCGGTAGTGCGCGCCACCACCTCGCCGCCGCCGCTCATCAGCGCCTGCCACAACTGCTCCGACGGATTCTCCACGTCGTAGTATATGCGACGAGATTCACCGCTGCTCTTCGCCTCGTGCTCTATCACCAAACTGTACCGCAGGCGGATCTTCTTTGGCTTATTACTGTGTTTCAGGTACACGTGGATCGGTATGTCGATGGATACGCTGCCAGACTCTTGGATCTCGTACGGCGGCTCCTGAAGAACTGCAAAGAACGACTAATATGTAAACATAAAGTAAATTCGCAGTTAAGTAGTGGAGATAAATACGGGCCTCGTAACAGGCTATCGAGTTCGTGTGATAACGATAATGAGCGAGTTTTATGATGAAACTACTCGCAGACGGAAACTGAATAATTTGGTATGAATTAATAAACCAGTTTGGTGCTGGCTCGTCGACCGGTCCCATTTGTTGATACAAATAGCTCTCATCTACTTAATCAGAAGAGCGTCTAGCGAACGTATCACACAAGTCTATCAGAAGAGTTACGAAAGTGTAATATTATAGCAGGGAGAATAAATTTATAACTGTCCGAATTGTATTTTATTTGTAGTTACCTAATAAGGCTTTTATTGTCTTCTAAAAATGAAAATCAAAATGTCAACTGTCAAGAATTTACCTCTTTTAGGGTAGACGAACGCGTTGGCAGGGTGCAGATAGAAGACGACCTTGTGCACGAAGGAGCTGATGTCGCGGCCGCTCGCGCCACGTACCCACAGCCGCCAGTCGAGAGCTAGCGCGCGCCCCAATGAAGAGCTGCGCGGCTCGCACGCGTGCCCCACCTCCAGCCATATGCGGACGCACATCTGAGGAAATACAATAAAATAATAATAAGGCCCACTTGTACTAGAGTCAAAGTTCTTAAATCTAATTTAAAAGGTAATCATGTTTGAACATTATTTTTATCTCTATTCGAATTAAGCAAGTAACAGAGATGGAATGATGTGTTATTCACTTGTTACAGAACATTCGGCCACAACTTGACGGTCGCGTATGCTGCATTTATATTTATTGGTTATATTAAAAAAGGGGCGACAGGAGTGCGAGGAGAGACTGCAGAACAATGACTAAGCTCAACTTGGCAAAAAGCATGAAGAAAATTTACTGTCTACGCTCTCATTTATTTTTCTGTAATATAGCATTCGCAAGAATTACAAGTGAATGCTCAAGTTTATCAGCACCTTTAAACAGGATTAAGCCTTAACGTGTAATAAGAAGCAAGTGATATAAATATTAATAATTGTTATCCAACTATAGCGAAACACATTTACTCGGTATTAGTGAATGGGTTCTATCGAATACAATTATTTTAGAAAACGTAAATATTTGTTATGATATTATCATGCAGAGTCAATACGAGCTTTCGTTCCGAAATCTTTAAATATTTATAGCACCAAATAAAAATATTACGAACTACCAACCTATTAGTAATTGAATAAGTTTGCAAAAGTTTTAAATCATTTTTACATTCACGTCAAACCAAAATGTTTTTTTTATAAATTCAATTTGTAACATTATAGCTCTTCCTTATGAGACCCGTGAACGATAGATTATTGGTTGCAGGTCGATGTTATAATATATTTTGCGAAGGCCTTCGATCATGTTTGTCATCAAAAATCGTTAATTAAAGCCTCATTATGTCACATTACCAGGCTTCATTTCGCATTCGTTTGCTTTCTGCCAATTTAATTATGGCAAATATGAATAATTAGTCGTGTTACTACTAGAGCTGCACATATTTGGGCCATCTATTAAATCTTCTGAGCTAACTGATTTATTATGAATCAGTGTCTCATAGGGATCAAGTTTAGGACCTCTTTTATATATATATATAGTATCTATTCATCTTCTTAATTTTATTGACTGTTTGCCTATGCTGGTGACTGTGAAGCATTGCGAAAAAATTCAACATATTGTCTAAGTGATCGGATCTCAATGAAATATTCACCAATATCAATAAATGTCAAGTAATTTCTTTAACAAATGACATGACGTAGCCGGTACCTAGCGACGTCACATCAACACGTGACTGTAAGCATCTGTCTTGGAGCCGTACCCCTGGTTTTTTATTTACATATCATGCCACCCATAAAAGATTACATTTATTTTATCATTAGGCCAACGATATTAAGGAACTAACATTTGTTATCGCAAGGTGGCGTAACTAATATACGTATTTAAGTTTAGATAAAGTTCGTTGTTTAAAAGATTATTTAAATTTATAGTACTTATTTACTCTAATACCTACTTGAATAGAAACAATCTAGGTCAGTTAAGAGCAGCGCCGGGAGTAGTTTTTCAGTACTTGTTGCCAATATTCATGTCGTGGCTTTTAATTATTTCTTGCCGCGAGGCTCCTTTTAATGTGAGATCGTAGGTAAACGGCTGCATAGTTCATGCCTAGCTACGCGACTGCGTTGTATAGTTCTTTTTTTAGTTTTTTTTATACAGGTTGACATTGTGACAGTGAAATGGTTGGTTAAAAAGAGAGATTGGGTATTAAGTACCTCAGATTACACCCGAAGCAAATTCGGGATTCGGTCAGTGATAGAAGGTTAAGGCGGAGAAGAAAATGATCTACTCATTTTCTTCTCCGCCTTTACTTTGACGGACGGATGAGACCTGGAAGGAAGAAGAGTGTCAAAGAAAAGAAAGGGAGTTGAAAGACGAAAAGAAGACAGAGGTTACCACAAAAAGCGCGAGTGTTAATAAGCTAATGGATACCTTTGAAGGACCGCCAATTGTGAACCACTGAAGTAAATCGCAATAAGAAGACAATTATAAGCATCACGGAATAGAAAAAAATGTGTTATGGTGGTATTTTACCTGTTAACAATTTACTACAGCGCTAAATACTTATGTACTAGTTGGATATTTATTTAATTTTTTATTGTACTAAATATTACACGTATCGTACCTGTCGGTTTATCATTCAAACTCTTAATCACTTTCTCTACCGCCAAAGAGGAATGAACTAGGGATGTCTAGCGGATCGGTCTTCGTGTACATAAAATAGGATTGCTTTTCCACTGAGAAAGAGTTCGGGACTATTGATTCTCATTTCATTCATTTTTATACTGTTTTATTTTGGCTCGACTCCTTGTTGGTGGAAACAGATGTATGCATTTCTTAATGCATACACCACACAATAAAGATATTGTGAGGTAAACGGAGTCATTAATGGGCTTGCTCCGCTGGCGGTGGAAAACCCCCTTTATAGACACTCACCACACGCCCTTTTTTTAGACACACCAATTAGCCTAGTCTCAAAGATAACACTGTAAGGCTCAAGCCTTATGGGATACAAGAGTAGATAACGGATAGCATACTGATACAAATTATAAGTATATTCATCTATAAATAGTTACATATATTTTTTTAAGCTTTTAACTGCTAGTTGTTTAAATCTAAAGAAAATTTCATCTAGTCTAGAAATACATATAATCATCCATGACGTAGAAATGCTCGTACTTATCATATAAACATTTGCCCTACAGGGATTAACCGGGACCTCCCGAGTAGGCGACACCTTGAGACTCGGCCTGCGTACTCGGCCACGGAAGTCGTAATTTTTGTTAAATAATAATTTTAAATTGATGTTGTTTATTAGATTAATGTTTTTTTTTAATAAATTACACTATAAGATGAAGGAACGTATTTTTAACTAAGAACAAGATATAAAAAAACTACTAGGTACAGATAATTATATTAAATATGTTTGTTGTCACTATCCCTTCATTCATTATATTGTACGCAATGTACGTGGTACACATAAAGGTACTTAAAATAGAAAATAAAAATTGAAAAAACGCATGTTAATTAAAAAAATAATAGTGTAAGTCAAACCTTATTAAAATAGGTAAGTAATTAGAAAACGTTTGTTCTCCGTCACACCGATCATATACAGAATAAATAAAATAATAAATATTTCCAACACACACCAATTAGCCTAGGCCCAAAGTAAGCACTGTAAGGCTTGTGTTATGGGATGCTGGGGTTACGGATAGAATACATATATAATTATATTTAGAAATACTTAATAAACATCCATGACTGGAGTACAAATGCTCGTATTCATCACACAAACATCGGCCCCCACCGGGATTCGAACCCGAGTCCTCTCGTGTCGGCGACACCATGAAACCCGGCATACAAACCACTTGGCCACGGAGGTCGTCAAAATATAGTTACTCCATGTTTTGTCTCTGTCTATTGAATGAAAAATGGCATTGACTGATATGAACAAAACACGGCGTAACTAGTTTTACCTTATTCCTTGTTTATTAATAAGGGGGTACATGTGCAAAATGTACCCATACACAAAGATTTAAAACGTGTACCCATACAGCTGTAATGAACCAGCAACTTTTTATAAATAAAGTTCAATAAAAGTGGACTCACCTCAAAATGTAATCAAAGCCTCAAATCTTTCTAATAATATTTGCACCAGGTGTGATTTGCACACTACAAGTACAGAATTATCAAAGATTTCAAATCTTTGAGAATTGCAGGATCAATTATGTAGGGTAAATGAAAAATTAAACAGAATTCAGCATATTGAATTAATTTAATCCCCTTACGTTCATCTTTTAAATCCAACAGTAAATAAGATTTAAGTTCAATGTCTAATCAAAATTTTTAGTAAACATTATTGAAAATTATTACAATTTTTAAGTATTTTTCATTTAAATGAAGAGTACATTTTAAAACACGTTGCCTAGTAACAGCTGACAGCCCGATGTTTTTTCAGGAATCAATTTTTTTATTAAGTACCTACTTATATTTTATATGTATATTGACATAAAATGTAGCAGCAATAATTTCTGTAAGTCACGTAGATATAGATGTTTCATTTTATAACAGTTTGTTTGTGATTGTAATGCATTGAATCATGCTATTTACGATTATAAATGAAATGCGCTGCAAAATTTCATTGAATAAGATAACTATACCGGATCTATTAAACATCAATCACATTGCTCTAAGAATAATAATAAACATTGCAATTGAAATGAATTAGTTTATAATTTTAGTATTTGCACAGTAAACAACAGGTAGGTCCCTAATGATTATTGTCGCATATGAAAGAAAGAAAAAGTATTTTTATCCATATGTGATTTTGAGACCTTTTACATCGAGTCTTTTCTGAATCAGCTTAATGCCCTGATGCAAGCTGAAACTTAAGCTTCGTGACTATTGAAAGGTTTCATAAAACAAATGGTGTATTTTTCCGAGGGTCTAGTTAGTCGACTACTGACTTGACTGGACTTGACAAACATTGTTGACGGAAAATTTCGGTGACAAAGCAAAATAAAATGTATGAAATTGTTACGCGTCTCATTCAGCGTTTTGTACCCAACTTCAGATTTAAGGAAATGCTAAGTTTTTTTATGAAGTTCGGTTAGATATAAGACAATTTTTAAATAAGACACAGCAACGTTCGCTCAGCTTTGGTACTTAGTCAGCTTTTTAGAGGGTCGGTGTGTAATAAATTGTTTTAAACTTTCATGGTCACTAACATTATAGTAATATAAGTTATTTACGGGATAGTTACCATGTATCTTGTTTTTAGCGTTTTTAAACATCTTAACTCTGTAGTGACTTCACTGACGAACTGTGCATATGACCTGTGTGATGAGGAACATTTTCAAGAAGAGTTGGAGCATGTACGACGAGTCTTACAGAGTAATGGATACCAGGGATATTTTCCATCTAGACACAAACTAAGACACCAGAGACACAGAGTAGATAGACAACCTGTTTATTTGCCATACGTCAAAGGAGTGACTGACAAGATCTCAAACATTCAGTGAATAGGTACTCACTAAACAATGTCTTCACTCCTGTGCGAAAGGTTTCACAATACCTACGGTCTCCTAAAGACAACTTCCCCTTGGAGAAACCTGGTGTCTACAAGATTGATTGCAGCTGTGGCAGTTCGTACATTGGCCAAACAAAGCGAACAGTATCATGCCGAATGAGAGAACACATAAAAGCAATCAAGAACAACAATACACAGAAATCAGCCATCGCGGAACATTTGATTGAATCTGGTCCTAGCCACTGGATTGAGTTTCATAACCCACAGATTATCTCGACAGAACGCCACTACATACCAAGATTGATGAAGGAAGCGATTGAAATAACAAAACATAAAAATTTCAATCGTGAGGACGGGTTT